TTATCCTGCAGCTCTGGGGGGTTTGGGAAGCTCCCAGCTCCATGCAGGAGCATCTTGCTGCCACAGGGCTCACCCAGAGGGTGGTGGTGAGTCTTGCACCCAGTCCTGGATGTTCAGTTCTCACATGTGATGTTTCTCGTTGAGGATGTGGGGTGAGTGCTCAGCAGTTTGCAGCAGGATGGGTTTAATGGCTGCACAGTCATATAATCCCAGGATCCTTTCAGTTGGAAGAGACCTTTCAGAGCATGGAGTCCAACCAGCCCCCAGCATTGCCAGGTCCCTCAGCACCACATCTCCATGGCTTGGAAACCCCTCCACGGGTGGGGACTCCACCACTGCCCTGGGCAGCCTGGCACAGCCCTGGGCAACCCTCCAGGGCAAGAAATTGTTCCTCAGCTCCAACCTCAACCTCCCCTGGGGCAACTTGAGGCTGTTTCCTCTTGTCCTGTCCCTTGTCCCTTGGGAGCAGAGCCCGACCCCCCCCTGGCTCCAGGCTCCTGTCAGGAGCTGTGCAGAGCCAGAAGGTCTCCCCTGAGCCTCCTTTGCTCCAGGCTCAGCCCCCCCAGCTCCCTCAGCTGCTCCTCCCCACCCTTGGCCTCTAGACCCTTCCCGAGCCGCTTCGTTGCCCTTCTCTGGCCACACTCCAGCCCCTGAAGGTCCTTCTGGGAGTGAGGGGCCCAGAACTGACCCCAGAATTGGAGGGGCAGCCTCCCCAGTGCCGAGTCCAGGGGTTTGAGCCTTGCCTTGGTCTTGCTGGTCCCACCAGTGCTGAGAGAAACCAGGCTGCTGGTGGCCTTCTTGGACACCTGTGCACACACTGGCTCATCTCCAGCTGGCTGCCCCCAAGCACCCCCAGGTCCTTTTCCATCCAATCTTCCCCCAGCCTGGAGCATTGCAGGGGGTCATTGTGACCCAGGTGCAGGACCCAGCACTTGGCCCAGAAGCAGAGGATGATGTTGCTGTGGCTGCACAGAAGGGATTGTGCAGGTGCTGAGGGGGGAGCAGCTCATCTCCTGTGTCCTCTCGCAGGTGCTGGAGGCTTATACACCATCCCATGATAGCTGGGTGATGTTGCATCTTCTCCCAGGGTGGTGGACATGCACTGGAGCTGTGATACAGCAGAGCCACGTGGGAGAGCTCAATTTGGGGCTGCTTTGAGTTGCACTTGATAGAGGAAAAACCCTCGGGGGGTGGGCGATTTAGACACATCTGCTGCAGGGTGGGCTCAGGTCCTGGGAGAGCTTGGGGTCTGCTGGCTTCAGGAGTGGGTAGAGCCCTGGGAAGGGGATGGCCACCTGCCTGGGGAGGTGTGGGGTCTCCTTGCCCCAGCTCAGCAGCGTGGCCTTGTCCCACCTCCATGTGTTTCAGCGCTCTCTTCCCGGACGTGGTGAACTGCATGCAGACAGACAACCTGGAGCTGAAGAAGCTGGTCTACCTCTACCTGATGAACTATGCCAAGAGCCAGCCAGACATGGCCATCATGGCAGTCAACACCTTTGTGAAGGTGAGAGGAGGGGGCTGCAGGGGGCAGCGGGGCAGTTCAGCCCATCATGTGTGTCCCCACCTTCATGTGAGGCCACTACACTAAGCTGCTGCTCCCTGCCCTGCTCTGTGGGGTGATAGAACCCTGGAGCAGGCTGCCCAGAGAGGCTGTGGAGTCTCCTGCTCTGGAGAGGTTCCAAACCCACCTGGATGTGACCCTGGGCACCCTGCTGTGGGTGAGCTGCTGGAGCAGGGGGGTTGGAGGAGATGATCTCCAGAGGTCCCTTCCAACCCCACCATGCTGGGATTCTGTGAAAGAAAGGAGCATGGGCAGTTTTCCAAAGCCACTCCCTTCAGGAGCAGAGAGGCCATTTCTTCCCCTGAGTAAATTTGTCCAGTAATGCAGAAGAAAAACATTTTCTTGGCAGCTGTACATGTGCCACTTGCTCTGTCAGCAGCAGCTTCGCTCGTGGGCAGCTCCCGTGATCTGACTGCTGTCATGTGAGCTGACATGCTGAGGTCCCTGCAGCTGAGAAGGCCCTCGTGATCTTCCTGTTGGAGCTGGGAACTGAAAAACTTGTTTGTTGGGAGCCAAGATGCTGCCCAAGCCCTTTGTCAAAAGGCTTGCTGGGCATTAGGGGGAGTTCTGGCTTTTTGGGACACAAAAAAAAAAAAAAACCCACACAATAAACCAGGTAGCTGTGACTTCAGGTACTTGGTGTAAGTGATGAAGACAGATTCCTGGAGCTGTGTTTGGAGTGAGAACTGGTGCTGTTAAAGCTCTGTGACTGCCAGGCTGCAGAACCAACAGATCCAACCTCTCTCTTGGGCGACTGGCTCTCGAGAGCCGAGCGTTCAAACCTTGTCGCTTCAGACACCCAAACGCCACCGGAGTTCCCGAAGCCCCCGCGGGTACCTGACCCCCTAACTCTGACCCTGGCAGGACTGTGAGGACCCAAACCCCCTGATCAGAGCCCTGGCCGTGAGGACCATGGGCTGCATCAGGGTGGACAAGATCACGGAGTACCTGTGTGAGCCCCTGAGGAAGTGCCTGAAGGCCGAGGACCCCTATGTGCGCAAGACTGCCGCCGTCTGCGTGGCCAAGCTGCACGACATCAACGCCCAGCTGGTGGAGGACCAGGGCTTCCTGGACACCCTTAAAGACCTCATCTCCGACTCCAACCCCATGGTGATTGGTTTTTCCTCTTCTCCACCCTCTCTTCTTTTCACCCATGTGGCAGTGAACGCTGTCCCTTTGGTTTCTCATGCTGACTCCTTTCCTCCCACGCTCCCCTTCACTCTTTTTTTGGGGCTTAACAGGCTGCTTTGGGGGGCCAGCTCTTTCTGAGGGCTGTGTTCCTTGTCGTCTCCTGGGGGAAAGGTTTCTCTGGTTCCTTGTCGGTGTGTTATTACTCTGTTCCCCACGGGGAGGAGGCTGCCCTGGCCAGCTCAGAGCAGGGGATGGTGGCAGAAGGGCTCTGTTGCCACGGAGCTGGCAGCTTTTGCCTCTGGTAAGGGTTTCCCAACATTGGGGCCTTGGTCTCCTTGCCTTTCCCCAGGCGTGAGAGACTTCAAAGCTGCCTTTCCCCAGGGTTTCTCTTCCCCCAGCCTTTGCTGCTCTTCAGATCTCACCACAGATGTGGTGGTGAAGCCAGGAGCTGCCACAGGGAGCAATGGGGCTCCTCGGAGCTGCCTGGGGAAGGGGAGGGCTTGCAGGGAGAGCAGGCTGCTCCACACTGGGCACGGGGCCAAGGCTGCCTCCTGCTGACCATGTGCAGTCCGTTGGACACGTGCCGTGGGTGGTGGGACCGTGCTGGTGGTGATTGCTCATCTCCTGAGGATCAGCTGCTGGGGAGGAGAAGCTGGTGCCCAGATGTTGCTGGGCTGTGAGGCACTGATACTGATGGTTCAGCTCATCCACTGGCACCAGCTGTCCCTCAGGCTGTTGAACCACTCTTGGTGTCACCCAACACGTGCCCTGTCCCCTCTGGCAGGTAGTGGCCAACGCAGTGGCGGCCCTCTCAGAGATAGCAGAGTCCCACCCGAGCAGTAACCTCCTGGACCTCAACCCCCAATCCATCAACAAGCTGCTCACAGCCTTGAACGAGTGCACGGAGTGGGGCCAGATCTTCATCCTGGACTGCCTGGCAAACTACATGCCCAAGGATGATCGGGAAGCCCAGAGGTGAGGGAGGTTCTGAGTGCTGCTGGGGCAGCATTGCCTTCAGGTCAGTATGGAAGGGCCTGGCACTGCCACTTCTCCTCTAAGAAGCATCTTCACACTCCAGACCCTTGCAATCCTGCTGTGGGAGGTGGGGCAGTGGGCATCTGCTGGCCACCATGCCTTGGGGACAGCCATCTGGGGACAGCTGTGGTCCTGTTGTGAGCCCTGTCCCCGTGCTGGTGCAAGGACTGTGCTTCTCGAGCTGCTTCAAAATGTGGCTGGACCATGCAGCATGGGAGGACAGGCACTGGGAGCTTGGAAAGGGGTTCACTGCCACAGGGGCTTGCAAGGGCTGGGTAATGGTTTTAAACTAAAACAAGGAGATTTAGAATAGACAGAGGGAAGAGATTTTTGGTGCTGAGGGTGTTGAGCCCCTGGCCCAGGCTGCCCAGAGAGGAGGTCGAGAGAGGTGGTCGGTGCCCCATCCCTGGAACCATTCCAGGTGAGGTTGGCCAGGGCTCTGAGTAACCTGCTCTAGCTGGGGATGTCCCTGCTCCCTGCAGGGGGGTTGGACCAGGTGACCTTGGAAGGTCCCTTCCCACCCACACTGTCCTATGACAACCTTCATGGGGGCATTTAGGAGCCAGTTGAGCCTCTCTTGGAAGGTCTGAAGCGCTGCTCAGCCATCCAACTCTGCCAGTGCCTTGTTCTCCTTTGTTGCTCCCCCCAGCAGTGCAGAAGCATGAAGAGGGGCTGTGCTAACTTCCTTTTCTCTCCCTTCCCCTTCCCCCTGGCCCCCCCAGCATCTGCGAGCGGGTGACCCCCCGGCTGTCCCACGCCAACTCGGCCGTGGTGCTCTCGGCGGTAAAGGTGCTGATGAAGTTCATGGAGATGCTGTCCAAGGACCTGGATTACTATGGGACCCTGCTGAAGAAGCTGGCCCCACCACTGGTCACCCTGCTCTCTGCAGAGCCTGAGCTCCAGTACGTGGCTCTCCGCAACATCAACCTCATCGTGCAGAAGAGGTGGGTGTGCCCCAGCATGGCAGGAGGGACAACCTTAGGTCCCCTTTTTTCCTCCTCCCTACAGGTGCTGCTCCAACCCTCTGACTTTTTTTTTTTTGTTTCTGTTTTTTAATTTTCTTCTCTGTTATTTCAAATCCAGGGGCTGGGCGCTGAGAATCGGGTGAGACAATAAGCAGGGAGCTAAGCTGGGATCCCCAGGAGGGGTTTATTTGAATTATTTGGAGGGGTAAAGGATGGAAAGGCCAAAAGCTGAGACTTGGCTTTAGTTGTTAAATGCCCGATGAAGAATTTTGTGAGATCAGCTTGTTTCCAGGCAGTTGTCCTCTTTGAATAAGTGCTGAGAGTCCTTTTGTCCCTTGGCTGATCTAAAATTGTTGGTGGGCAGGAGGTGTCCGAGCCCCCACACGTGTGCCCTGAGCAGAACTGGCCAGCTGGAGCCATGCTCAGCACTGACAGCCCTGCTCAGGTGATCTGTTATCACCGTGGTTGTCTGATTAAAACCAGCAGCAATTTCTGGGAGAAGTGGAAAGCAATTAATGTCCCTGGGAGCGGGGGTGGGGAAGGCAGGTTGACTTCTTGGAGCTGGACCTGGCCCTTCTCTCCCAGCTTCAAGAGAGAGGGGTGATCTGCTGAGAAAGGTCCAGCCTAGCCCTGGGGTTTGGGTTTGCATCCCTGCTCACCCTGAGATGTCCCTTCCAGCCTTGGCAAGACAACAGGCCCCTGTTGCCTCACGTCTGGGCTTTGTTTGCAGCAAGGTTGTCCTCTGTCCCCTGCACACCAGCAAAAGGCAGCCAAGGGACAGGGTCCTTGGCTCATGGTCACGGTGCCTTGGATTCCTTGGTATTGAATGGGACCCCAAAACCTTGTGCTTGTGGCTGAGGAGCCTCGTCCTCCTTGCAGAGAGCTGCTCGCTCTGCAGCTCAGGGTTTCCCCAGCTTGTGTCCTCAAGCCTTTCCCAGCCCAGCTCCAGCCTTGGCTGGACAGGGCTGAGAGATCCCTGGAGCTGGCTAGTGGAGTGTGGAATTTGCATGGACTTAGGGCATTAGCTGGCTGTGGGGTCAGGTGGATGAATCCTCATCCACCTCCTGACCATCACCTCCAGCCTTCTGGGGAGCACAGCTCCTGTCCTGCACTGCTTTGTCTGCTGGGTGAGATGGGAGCAGAGCTCAGGTCTTAGACTCATAAAAGGGTTTGGGTGGGAAGGGACCTTTCAAGGTCTCCTAGTCCAACCCCCCTGCAGGGAGCAGGGACATCCCCAGTTAGAGCAGGTTGCTCAGAGCCCCATCCAGCCTCACCTGGAATGGTTCCAGGGATGGGGCAGCGACCACCTCTCTGGGCAGCCTGGGCCAGGGGCTCACCACTCTCAGCAGCAAAAATCTCTTCCTGCTCTCCAGTCTAAATCTCCCTCTTTGAGTTTCAAAGCATCCTCCCTTGTCCCATTGCAACAGGCCCTGCTCAAAAGTCTGTCCCCAGCTTTCTGATAGGCCCCTGGCAGTCCTGGCAGCCCCCAGCAGGTCTCCCCAGCTGGAGACTTCTCCTCTGTGGCTGGGCCCCCCCCCCACCATCC